GAAAACTTCAAATAATGGAAGGATGAATGTAAAAATGTACAGAGACGTTCTTGATAAAAATCTGCTGCCATCTACCAGGAATGAAGATGAAACTTGGAAGGACATTTCAGCAAGACAATGACCCAAAACACACAACCAAGGAAATGCTAAATTGGTTTCAGAGAAGGAAAATAAAGCAGTTTAATGGCCCAGCCAATCACATGAACTGAATCTAATAGAAGCTATATGGAAAGAACTAAAGATCATAGTTCAAAGAGGAGACCCATAAAACCTTCAAAATTTGCAGACTGTTGGTGTGGAAGAATGGGCCAAAATCACACCTGAGTAATGAATGCGACTAATTTCTCCATACAGCAGGTGTCTTGAGGCTGTAATTGACAACATAGGCTTTTGCACAAAATGTAAAATAAATATCAGTGTGTTTGATGCTTTTTCCCTGTGCCATTTCCCTTTATTACTCGTAACTTAATTTCTGGACATCTGTGGTTTGATTTCTTTGTCTGCGTGGATTTTTATCGACATCTGGTGAAAATGTCAATAGCACCTCTAGAAATATATTTACTGAGAAAAATGGTCCCGTGGTCAATACTTATTTTACCTGCTGCATCTTGTCCAAACTTGAAGGCTAGTTCTGTCCTTGGATGTCATGTCTACACATAATAGGTGGCAGGAAAAAGAATAATTGCAATTACTAGTTCCTTGGTAACTGCTTGATATGATGCTTGACTCCATAAAGTCCATAAAATAACCAAAAGGCAATAATTTGGTGCTCAGTAAAGCGGTTTTTAATAAGCTGTGACCTCACAGGTCAGGGGTTTATTCAGAACCAACAGTGAGAATTTAAAACTCCAAATTTGCAGTACCTAATAAGTAGTCTCCTAATAACTACTAGATAACTACCATTTACTTCCTTATTAATTCCTCTTTGGTTTCCATGGTAACTACACATTAAATACCTACTAGATCTCTACCATTTACTTCCTTATTAATTCTGCTTCGGTTTCCATGGTAACTACACATTAGTTCCGGCTTAATTACTCTTAATTTCCCTGGTAACTAAGCAGTAGATCCATAATAAGGCGAAGCTGGGTGTTTATCTGTGACTATTGATGAACTACCCATAGTTCTATATTAGTTGTATAGGCATTCTCTAGTAGTTAATCATATTTTCGGTACATTATGTTCACATTTATTTGTGTGTGTTTGAGTGATTTAGAGGTCTACTTACTGTTTGATTTTAATGTTGTCCTTCTACACAATCCAGGTTCAAACTGGAGACTGCAGAAATACCCACTAGAACTGATGGTTAATGATAGCAAGTCTTACAGGTCCCAGACCAGTAAAGACAAAGATCAACAGCACCAAATATTCACCATACTGACAGTATGATCTCAGTAAGGGATGTTGTGTTAGTTTTTCACCAGCTGTAACAACAGTTCTTTAGTTGCCTCATAAAGGAGTTAAAAATCTTGGATAACTGGTTGGCCAGTCATTCCTGGGAAGTCTTCCTCCTGTTCCATGTAAGTCGGCTCATAATGTGTTTTTCTAACCTCCTAAATGTTACTTTATTTCATTTCATTGGACAGGTTTTGTTTAGATGATTTATTGCACTTCACAGGCCTGGTGGTAATCAGACGACAGTTTTAGACTAGTGAAAATCAACTCAGATGTAAAGATGAATATGATTATTCACACTAATCTGGTACTAGGGGTCATCAATAAATGAAAGCTTTTCATCTTCTCCCACTTATCCGTCAGAGTCACGGTGGGGCTGGTGTCTGTTTCCAGCAGTCTATGGGCTGAAGGCGGTGTCCACCCTGCATAGGTTGCGGTACATTGCAGGGCAACAGATATACAGCCATGCACACCCACACAATCACACATTAAGACTACTTAGAGACACCAATTAACCTAACAGCCGGAGAAAACCCACACATGCACAGGAAGAACATGCAAAGTCCATGCAGAAAGACCCTTGGTTGGGAATTAAACCCAGAACCTTCCTGCTGCAATGCAACAGTGCTTCAAACTGCTCCACTATGTAGCCCCATAGATCAGTTTGTTAATTTACTTGAAAAAATTTTAAACATCATCTTCCTCTTTCATATTAACCTTTTTGCTTCCTTTATAATGAGGTTCATAATAGGTTACAAGAATTGCAATAATATAAACAAATTTAGCTCTTTACTGATGTTTAAAAAATTTAATTTCTCCACTTCAGAGTGGTTCAAAATGAAAAGGTTTTAAAAAATCCCATTAAAAATAAAATCTTCATTCATCCAAGAAATGATAATGCAAGGTACTTATGTTGAAGTTATCTATAATATAGAGGCTTCTTTTCCTCATAGCTTAAAACAAATCCTCCCTGTTCAAAATGTGAACAGGGAGGATAGACTGGTGTGTCTGAGCCACTAAAGGAAAGGAAAAGTAATTTGGTAAATAATTCTCTGTTCAAAAGGAGGATTTCAACATATGTGCAGTAAATAGTCATCAAATAGTTCATCTAGGGGAGAGTGATGAGAATTTCCTGTGTGTTTATGTGAGGAGTTGTGCTGCAGGCATTAAGCAATGAATACTCTGCAGTTCTTTATCTTCAGGATCAAACAAAAAACAAACATCCAAGGAAATGATTTAATCAGGCCAAAAGGAAAACAGAACAAGTCATTCATGTTATCAACATATCTACATTTAATACAGTTTATTAAGCTCTAGGCCTTCTCCAGACAAAAAAAGAACCCTAACTTGTCAAGAAATAAAATCTGATTAACACCAGCAAATTATGTACAAAGCCTGAACCCCAGCACAAAGACCAACCAAACGGGCCTAATTCACCACAGACACAATCAGCTGTAAACTACTAAGCACTGGATTGAAAACTCCTTTTATGACAGGAAATGCTGGAAATCCAGCACGCAAAAACTTGAACTGAGGTACGGATGAAGATGATCAGAACTTTCCAGCAATCCTCTGAATGGCCAACTATGGGGCAGTGATGCAAATGAAGCTCATATATTTGTGACAGTACAAAGATTTGTCAATTTCTTTAAAAAGATGCAACCATTCAATCTTCAGGCTTTTAAAAAGAACAAAATTCATTTGATTCGAGCATCCGCTTCCATTCCAGGCAGACAGCACGTTAACATCCAGAAACATCTTCTGTAAACACTACAGCGCAGACCATTTGTCAAAGCAGATATCAGCAACAGTCAAAACAGCTAATGGCTCTCATCTCTCAAGTTTAAACGTTTAAGCAATTAATATTCATATCCAGCAATGTGAAAACTCTCTTTTAGTTTTTTTTTTTTTTTTTTGTTAATGCAGCTATTCATTTTCTGTTCTTAGCTCAAGGTTTCTTCCCCGAACCTTTAAACTGTTCGGAAAAAAAAAAACATCTTGTAATAATGATGGCTGAATCTAAAGAAATATATTATCTATACATTCAGCTTATCTGAATTGTCTGGATTGGGGTTTGATTGAGATGCCAAATAAAGATCTATTCAACAATGTACAGTAAAGTGACAGGGGCATGAACGGACGGGGTGCCACCAGCAGGAAGAGGCGGAGCTGTGTTGCATCCTTCTTCTTCTAGAACGGTGTCAAACTCACTATCAAGTCACTCTTGTTGAATGAGGATAGGTTTTTGGCATTGTAGTGACCTCTCCAAAAGATATACTTTAGTAACTAGGCAGATCGTCCATTTTTTTAATGAAAAATGACAAAAATATACTTGGATTAACCTCGAAATAAAAGGCCAGTGTCTGTATAAGTCCTGACGCAAAAAAAAGTCTGTTTCTTTCTCCATATTTGAATCGGTGAAACACTGGATTGTTATTCTTTCAGAAAATTGTGGCTCAGAAAAAAAGAGAGACACAGAGAGAGAAACCAGGCAGAGTGCAAAAGAGACCTGAGAGCACGGTCCCTATCTGAGCACAGAAAGACCTGAAACAGCACGACAGACAGGAAGATGAAGAGAAAGGCTAGAAATGTTAGAGTGAACGGGGTCTTAAAGGGAGCAGCAGGCCGGTAACACTGACCCTCAGTTAAGAGTAAGAAGTTGATCTACAAGGAAAAATAAAAGGGAAGGAGAGGAGAGGCAGGTTGAGACACGTTGCTCCTGTCTGGTAGTCCTCTGTGTGACTTTTCCTGCTTCCAAGGTACGTATCCACGCAAGGAGTGATCTGTTCTCTACAGTCTTGTCTTGTCCAGGCTCTGTGCATTGTACTGAATGGGGATACAAGCTTGTCTCTTCAGTAGTCCTCCACCCAACCGTTCTCCTGGATGAAAGCATCGATCACTTCCTTCATCGCTAGGTTGGGGATCAGCTGATCCTGGGTCAGGGGACTCCGGGTGACGGGGTCAAAGTGACCTACCCTCTGCACACAGGCAACAAAAAGAAGCATTTTAAACATTAATAGAATATGCTGTATGGACTTCATTTTTAGTATCTGGTTA